CTGAGCAGTGGCCATGTAGGTTAATTTTACGCATGGATTTTTTTCCCCACATAACTTTGGAAGTTTTTACTTTGAATTAAAGAGTTAAATCCCACAATGTCCAGACAATTGGAGGTAATACTGTGTGCATGCACCACACAGGGATTGCCTTTGCTGCACTGCACACCTGTGCAAAATATGTTCCCATCACTGCTTCAGCCCCATGCACTGCATGTGAACATTCTGCTTGCACATCATCGATCAGACTCCACGCATTGTCAAGCTGATGTGGCTGTGCAGTGCTGAACACACAGAAAATGAGATGAATGCATGACTGAAATTCAATCACTGAATCAATATTAGTATCACTGAAATTAAACTGGGCTGTAGCAATCATCACAGATACTCTCCCACCAGGGGTTTCAGCAAAGCTGGCAATATGAAATAGTTTTCAGAGTGTCTGAATGTCAGATCTGAGGCAAGAGTCTCACATTCCCAGAGCAGTAACTGAACAGAGTTTGCTCTGCTAAGTCAGAAGCCATGAAAGTGTCTTGTGGACAGCACAGTACCTGCTGAATATAGATACTGCTGCCCTGTTGGCAATAACACATACTTTCACCCTGGGGATCTTGAATCCAGTCCCCTTGAAAGATCTCAGGAGTTTAACTGCAGAAGGCAGACAAGAAACTGAAAGGACTGACTGAAAAGAAAGGTATGATCCTAGGCATTTACTTCCAGAGCATGTTGTGGCAACCTCTGATCACCCAAGTGAGGATGCTGGGATTCTGCACAGGACAAATGGTAACAAGCTGCAGTATTTCCAGTGACCTTGCCTAATTACTAGAACATGTAGCGATGTCTCTGGGTAAGAAAGGCTGCACACCTCTTTATGGTGGTGTTACTTGCCATGCAGAGGGTAAAGTTTGCACATTGCCTTCTGCTTGGAATAACCAGATAGGCCAGTTTAGTTCATAGTCCTTGGCTGTGTCAGCAAAGTAGTCAGGGTTTGTCTCCATTAACTGCTCATCTATCTGCTCTGCCTGTCCTCAACCACTGCTCAACATTATCATTAGTCCTACATGTTTTGCTCCACCTCTTCTCTGCCAGCCACTTCCTTGTAGAACTGGCACAGCTCCAGGATGGTTTGCAATTCACAACATAGAGCTCTACTGGTTCAACAAGAGGGACAGCTTGCTTTGCCCTAGATTGGGAGGGCAGCAGAAGTGGGCAGGAGGTTATGGTGGCAACAGGAAGCAGTGGAACCTAAAAGAGAACAACAGCATCCTGAGGTCATCTCACGGTGGGAAAAGCAGGTATCTGGGATAAAGAGGGTCAGGCTAGTTCCTAAGGAGAAAGTAAACATGGCTGTTCCAAAGGGAGACAGGGAAAGGGGAGGAGCTTTTAGACCCTTCTCATCCATCACAAGGTCTCCTTTCCTAAGCTAAAAGATATGTTTGCTCAATACATGTCAAAATTTGGTTTCTGCTCAATGTAAGGGTGAATGTGGGAATGATGGAAACACCACAGTCGCTTTGGGCTGGTGAGTGCTGGAATTAATACAACATCCTTCTTCAACCAACTCTTATTGCAGGACTTCATCACAGAATTGCTCAGTCGATTGAGAGGTCTCCGAAGAGTCACCAATCCTCAGAAGAAATGACTTTGCTCACATGGAAATTCCAGCTTTGGTTACAAGGAAATATGTATCTTCCTGACAAAAACCAGGATCAGCAACAGAACTTCTGAGTATGTTTAGGACTTATTATTATTATTATTGAGAAACTTCACCAAGTTTGTGAACTTTGTACCAGTGGTTTGAAGTCTCCACTCCTTCCAGATCTACACACACAGCAGGGAGCTAGATTGTACATTTTCCTGATTCTTAAAGAGTGTGTTAACCTGAGGAACGGGACAAGATGTCCCTCCTTTAGATTCTTCTAGGAATTTCCATGCTGGCCAAGGAGCACTGAATACAATTCTCAGGAGCTCATCAAGACTTCTTTTTTTCGTCCACTGCAAGGAAAACAAGGCATTGGTTATCCCTCATTCATCAACATGGAAAATCAGCCACTATTAAGCTGCACCTCATTTTAGTCTGGCTTAAACCCAACTGTGATCTCCTGCCTGTTACTGCTGTACCTGACTCTACAGCATGGCACATACTTTGTAAGTCTTACTAAGCCTCTGTTATTTATGAAGGTTGGACAGAAAATATATGATAGTTTGAGTGCACCTGGTCTACTTAAGGGGAAGTTTGTGAAACAACTGCTACAGCTAATGGCTATTTTTTTCCATTTTGTGGAATTTAAGACTTATAACTTAGAAGCCTTTTCTAAGGAACAAGGTCTGGGAATGATTTTTCTCCTAGTTCAAAAAGATGTTGGAAAAATACTTATTTTATATTAAAACAGAGAAAACCAGCCATGCAGTGCTTGATTTTGCTCTCTCTTTAGATTCTAAAGAAAAACTGAAGTAAAAAATACCTGCTCCCAACTTCCCTTCAGGGAGCATCTCGGAGCAAGTCTTTTGCAGACAGGTAGGTCTCACAAATGAGCAGGGAAGTGGGACACAGTACCTTGCTGCACAAACTCTTCTGGCTACAACTAGTATTTGCCTGGAAAAATACAGAGGAAACTACATCCAGCCTCTCAGCAAGTCAGTAACTTGACACATGGACTAGGAAATAAGACAGCAAATGGAAGCTGATTGCTTAGGCAGAGTGCTCTCACATTATGCCCTGTCCCTACGTTGATACCTGGCCACACAAACGCAAGAGATGAGTCTGAGTCACATCCAGAGGAGCTCCTAAAGAGCACAACATTCAAGGCCAGCTTTTGAGTAATCTTTTGTCTGTTTGGTGAGCCAGGCAGAAGGGACCAACTATGGAACCAGAGGGGCATGCAGGTTAGCTAACAAAGACAAACAAGGATTCTTGGGCTGGACCAGTAATATCTTAAACACAGTAGTCTTTCCATCTTTATCAGTAGCAGTGTGACGACTATTATCTTGTTCTTCCCTCCTATTTTCCAGCTGTCATTGAACAAATTGTAGGTTGTGTTCTCTAAGAAGACAAAATCCAAGCTGCAGTAACAACTGTGATGTAAGGGCCTGCTTCCTTTCACATGCTTTTCTTGTATCTGATTGGAAGTTGGCAAGCCATGGACCTCATGTTTTGTTCTAAGGCTGCTCCAAGATGTTCTAAGCCTCACCCACTAGGCTGGAAAATGGTCTTTCTTTATCAGGTCCAATATAGATCTTTGATAGCTCTGGGAACATGCCAATTTTGGCTTAATAAGGGGCTAGTGGGACATGCCTACCCTCATGAAATCTCAATCAGTAAAATAACAACAAAAATCCAGACCTGCAATGGTTGCAGATCTGGCTTATGGATGACACCTGCTAATACTCATGTAACACACCCCTGGAGAAATGAGAGCAGCATATCAACAAAAAGCTCTGAGCACTGGTAAAACAAAGACTAGGATCAAACAGAAGTTCGGGTGGCAGAGCTAGGTGGACAGGATATGAGGAGAGTGTCCTAAACTAGAGATGCAATTAGCTACTGCACAGCAGTATAGGAGATCAGATTACTTACATACCCCACTAAGAGGCTTTGTTTTATTCTGCTGAGTTGCAACAGCACAAAGATATGACATGCCTCTCCTCTGGCCCAAGAGAAACAGTTTCTTCCCCTGGGAACTGTTCTGTATTTCCTCATTATGGAGTGAGGCAAAAAGAATTTTTGTCTGTGCTTTAAGGTAGACATTGTTAAAATCAAAGACAAAGCACGTTCTGAAAACTCTGCTTGACCAAAGTTGTCTTTATGCTTATTCTGCAAGTAGCAGGAAAAGAGTAAGCTATAGGCCCTATCATGTGCAGTTGCTTCTGATACATAAGGAATTCTGATACATAGTGATACCTGAGAGCACTTCAGCTAAGCACACTGAGATCAGGGGACCAAGGCAACATGTGGCCAGTGCTAGATGGTTCCTCAGCTCACTGGTGCAAAAGAAAAAGCAATGTAATGCTATCAGAGTAACTTCTTTTTTGTTTCATTCTTAAACAGTAGTAAATCACACTTGGTTTGGTTTACGTTTTAGCTGTTCTCACACTAGACCACAAGGATAGATTAAAATCAATGCTTGAAAAATTTTCGTTACAAACATCTTCCAGTAAACTTCGTTGTTTCTCAGCACCACCACTAGCATAAGTATGTAGATTCTATCTAAGAATGTTGCTTGAAAGGAACTTTGCCCTCTTGATTATACCAAGATAACCCAATGCATGAAAGTTCATGAGCTTTTCTAATTTGAATTCTTGTTGGAGTGGAGCCCACATTTGATAATTCACGTACAAAACATTATGAGACGGAAAGAAAATCCCTCATGACTTGCTACAAAGACGAGAGCAAACAAGTTGAATCTCTTTCTGGAAGATGACAAGCTGTCTTCTGTGCTTGAACAGCTATGACTGAAGTTGATCTGGCCTGTCAGGAATTGACTGATTACCAGTGTCTTTGTTTACCAGCACCTTTTCAAAGACAAGGATAGGAGTAAGTAACACAGCTAACAGTGCACTGCCCACTTAAAGGTCATGCAGCATTCCTCTTTCACAACACAGATTCAACTAGGTGTGCTTCCTGCAGACAGCCCATCTGGATACCCCTCTGCCCCTCCTACATGGAGTTTACTGAGGCAACAGCTACAGTGGGAATGGCTTTTCAGGGGAAAGTGATTGGGCTACTACTAAAATGCCCCATTACATGCAGAAAGTGCAGCAGCCACAAAAATGTCCATTAGTGGTGCAGGGAAAATAGTAGCTTGTGTCTGTATGACTTGAAGAGAGTCTTCCATATATGACTAAGTTCTATTTCAGGTAATGGGTTGGGTGCATTTCTGGATTCCTTGGGATGGCCCCACAGAAACCAATTTGGGAATCTAAATGAACTGCTTCCGGCTGCAACCTGCTCCATTACTACTGATGTGAAGAGGGCAGGGCTTACAAGACAGAGGCTGCCTAACTGCAAGGGAGCTCAAAGTTTTATTGTGGCTGATGAAGCATTCAAAATGTTCCAAGTATCATACCAGCTTATACTAAGACATTGAAAAAACCAGCAGCTGTAAATCAAGAAACAAAATTACTACTAACTGCTTGTGGAAGACACTGGCTGAAGCCCAAAGCAGTGGATCAATTTAGGAGAGAAATAAAAACAGATAGTTGTACCTTCCCCTGTATACATAAAACATGAAGGCTTTAACCTCAGATAGAACTGGGTGTCTTACTATCAGACTAATTATCCATGTCAAATAGCAATGAAAAAGTGTCATGATAACATAAATAAAGAACAGCATTTTGTTTTGATTTTTAAGACTGCGAGCTCCTCAGGGCTTACTTAAATAACTTACTTAAATTTTGTGTGTCACAGGGTTAATTGTGAGCTCTTGCATCAGAACAATTCAAGTAATTTTCCCATCTACCTGTCCCAAGGAGACAGGCACTGGTGAAGCAAGGGCTGCCAGGAGAAAGAAGATCCTCCACAGAAGTCGGATTTTGCCACCCCTTCCTAAGAAAAGGTTTTGATGGCACTGCTGGATACGCTTGACATTTTTAGTGTGTTGACCTAAAGTATTACTATTCTACATTGTTTGAATCAGGTTTTTGTTGAAGAGTCTGATCCAGAGCAACACATTAGCAGAAACCCACCTTCAACAGTGGTTTAATTCATTTGCTGTCCTCTGACCAGAGGTGCAGGTAAACACTGTTTCATCACTTCACCTCGGAGGCACTGACCTTAAGCACGGGGGCAAGGCAGACAGCTGGGAGTGGCAATGTCAAACCAGACAGGCAAGATTCATTGGAAATTCCCTGTCAAGGGCAAATCCTTTATTTTCTTGCAATTGGAATTTGTCAGCCTTAGATAGCTCTCTCAGAAGTCACATTATTTGGAAAGAGCTCATCCTGACAGAATAATAGAGCATGTTTACAGCCAATTTACTTGGATATTTGAAGCAATTCTGGGTGTTCTGGGCACTGGCAAGTTCCACTTGCATCTGGATTGTCTCCCAGGAGAGATATGGACATATGCAACTGAGCTTCTCTCCTAACCAGATGAAGAGCATCACACAGGTAACATTTTTATCTTACCAGGTGACCAAATAATGACAAACAAAGTCAAATCCTGCTTTCAGACTTATACACAACTATTTCAGACTAACATGTTGCTCTTACAGCTGACATGATGTTGGCACAGCCACTGCAGGCCACAACACTGTATCAGTAGCAGATTACCTTTTCAAAGGATCCTTTCTTTCATGTCAGTGAGCAACACTGCCCTGCATCTTTTCCAGACACACCACAGAAACATTTTTGATGACTTCACTATTCTTGATTTCTTTCCCTAAGCTGCTTGACACTAGGACTAACATACAATTATAAGAAACCAACACTTTGTTAATGGCTATCAGGCATTTTCAGGAGAGACTTTAACCACAGGCCTCTGTAAGTAATTTTTATTATGCTTTGCAAGTTCTCATCACACACGTGATCACAATATAGACATTTTTCTCAGTGCAAAGTGCTTTGCTGCCTGTTGAACCAGTGTATAAGCTGTTAGTAAAAGCAGGAAGTTATTTATCAGCCAGTCAGTACTGCCTTAAGCACACATCTTTCCTGCTACCCACATTGTTTTACCATCTGTATTTATGGACTTGTATCCACCTCCTCATATCAAGTCCTCATTTATCCCCAAGCATGCACAGCAAACCCTGCACTTTTCAGGTGTCTTTGTGAAGACTAAGTCACACGCCCTGCAAGCCTCCTCAAATTACAGCACATCCTGTAACTGTCCGAAACATCACCCATTTTGGCTGCAAATCCACTTAGATTCTTCCCATCTGGCTGGCTCCTCTGTTTTCCCATTCTCCAGCTCCTCTTCTGCCCATAAGTGTGGTCACTTCTGTTTGCAAGGAAGATGATAGCGGGAGGTCTGGTGGTCCTTCAGGTCAAACTCCTCATGGCCTTCCCTAAGAAGCAAATACAAATTGCAGTCAGAAGCAAATAGCCAGGCCAGGAACCCACCCTTAGCCACTGCACAAGATATCTCCCAGCAGCCCTTAACCAGAAACTTATCCCAAGGGTTGGCTGTGAGGATCTGACTGGCAGCCATGTGGACTAACTACTTAAGATATTTGCTTGCAACAGAAATTTCTGAGATGCTTTATAGGAAGGTCTACTCATCCTTGTCAGCTGGATTTGAAAATGACAACAGGTCCTTCTGTTTCTTTCCCTCTTGAAGAGATTCATGTAATTCATGGCTCATTTTCAGCACTGTGTCTGTGATTCCAGGGACATTAACAACTGTGACAACAGACAAAATGAGTCTCCTCCAGAAAACTCTGGAAAATAACTGAAAGTAATGCAGTGTATTGGCAGTTCTCTTAAGCATGCTCAGGAACAGGCAGTGTTGAGTAAGATACAAGCCTGCATCCACAGTGTGTGGATGATAAACTCACCTGCCAGACTGTTAAATCTGCTTTTACTGATGTTTGCTGTCAGATAATTTTGTTCATATGCTTTGTTTTTAACAATCTAACATTGCCAGTCATATGTTTTCTGAACATTTTCATATGGATTTCCCCCACTGCATTTGCATTTCCCTACAAATACATTTGCAGGAAATGAGAGAATATGCACAAAAAGCGTATCTTATTATCCCAACCACATTTTTAGCAACCTGCTGTCTTAATGTCATCCAGCACTAATCTGAGAACCCAGCCAGCTACCCAATACTTCTGAGGTATGAAAAAAAAGAAGTCACACAACCCGTCAGGAATAACTTTGTATTTAAATGAATTAACCCTACAAATCTGAGACATGAAAATTTTGTCAAAAAGCCAGCCACATGTGTTTAGGAACAAAGACTACAGCTGCTGCAAGTCTTTCACCAGCCTGACTGGTGTAAAAAGGCTCACACATACATATTTCAACAAAGAATTTTTTAATATGGCTTAGGATTGCAAAGTCTCAACCTAAGAAAACCCTCAGGAATTCATACTATCTGATCTCCCCCTTTAAGGGAATCCAGCCTAGGTCATCCATCAATGGCATTAACAAGCCAAAGGAGTCACTGAACAATGGTCTCATTTATCCCATCCCACGTAATGTAGCATTATCAGCTGCTCCAGAGAACATTCAGACAATGTGCCCAAACATTCACTCAAGCATTTCTGCCTAGGACCAGTTTAGTCCCTGAAGCCTGGGACAACTACTGATCTCACAAAGTATTTCTCTAACAACTAGCATTCAGCTCAAATCTGGATTCCTCAAATCTTGCCTCCTACTGCCTGTTTTTCTGCCTAATGACATAAACATACAAAGGGGGCCAAGCTTACCTCTGACCACCTCTCAGACCCAGAGGAATTGGATGACTCACCAAAAACAGCGCTGACAGTAGAGGTCCCCGTCACAGCCATGGCAGCGCAAAGTGGCATCTTCGTTGCAGATGCAGCACCAGGGTAACTCATCCTCATCACTATCATCTGCCCTTGCAAGAGCTGTGGTGGCTGGAGTGTGGCTCTAATTCACATAGAAAACAAGAGACAGAGAGTTTAAACCCCAGCAGGGGCAATAAAGGACCTTAACTGTAATACATGATGGCCACAGTGACCTGTCCCATAGCCCACAGTTTCCTCTCTGTTGATCCTAAGTCTGTGAGATGAACTTGCCCAGAGTGCAGGGACAGGCTCCATATGCATCTAGATTGTTAAATAAAAACCCAAGGTACTTTCTAGAATTTGGGTTAAAATCTATGTTGCTTGGAATGTAAACAGGTATTCAGCCTCATTTAGTGTCTACAGTGATGTACATCCACATTGTGTGTGCTAAGGGCATACAGCTCAGATATTCTGGCAGGCACCACAACAATACCATGTGACAATTCCTGCTGCAACAGCAAGAGATCAAACAGCTTTGCTGAAAGGGGCTATGTGGGAAGGGAAAGGAATGTGGTGGTGGGAGCATTGTTTTCTCCCTGTTGTGGGAAGAAAACTGTGGGACAAAGGAAGTGCTTTGCCAGAAGGCCCCTACTATTCATTCATACCTGAGGCTGGGACAAAAAGATCTTCTGAAAGCATAATCTAAACATATCCATACAGCCAACTATGGCCTCCTTCTCCCTTACAGAGAACTCTTGTGCAGCTGAAAACACACTGAGGCATTGTGCCTGGACACTGGCAAAGGCAGCTTCCTGACACAATCTTTTCCTAACACTATCTTTTGCATCAGTAATCCCAGAAATGCAAGGTGTCATACCTGAGATGGATGTTTTTGATAATGTTTACAATTATATCATTTCTTCCACTGGGAGCAGGCCTGACAGGTGCTTGTGAGTCACAGGTGCATTTAATTCTTGTAATATACATTAGAGATTATGTATATATTTCCACAGTAGGCCAGAATCCACTCTAAGCATAGGGTATCCTGCTACTAATTCCTTCCTCTGACATTATATGAGAACATGAACAGTAGAATACTATCTAGAGGTTCCATTCTGCACATGCTGAAAGCACTGGGAAACCTCCCATTTATTCTGGTTCAGATTGTATGGTACATGTATGGTACATGGCCTTGTTGATCTTACTATACATATATATGTATAATTCTCTAATATCCATATTGTGAGGTGTCTACCAACTTCTCTTGGTTTACACAACTCTGTAACGTTCAACTCAAAGCCAGATTGAAAGGAATTGTATTCCAGGGAACAATTCTTTTTATAATTACAAGGATGATTCACAGTTAAGCTCAGAGCTGGTCAGCCTTGCAGAAGCTGCTTGGCTTGTTAGCTCTGAAGAAACTGGTTATTTAATTTTTTTTTCTGCATCAAGCCTAGGATACAACAAACCTCTGCTGCAGAACCGTACTCTCCTGACACTCTGGAACATTCCAGACGTCAGTTCAAGAGATCCTGACCATTTCACTGACCTTTTGCTTTGCTTGCTTACACAGGTTCTGTTGTGAGGATCCTGGCTGGGTGGTCTGATCTGGGGGAATGTTGAATCCACTTGCTTCATCCAGGGCTGCTTCCTCTGTGAGCTGGTAACAACACAAAGCAAGAAGTCTCTTGTTTCAAACACAGCTAGGAGCCTCATTCCAGGCCCTAAACCTCCTGCACTCAATACTCTCATGCAGTAACAGGAGATGACAAGTCTGAATGCAGCTGGTGTTACCCAGACAGATGTAAGCTCACTCTGCACTTGGAACACTGTGTGTGCATTGTAGACAGTCTGCAGTTCACCCACTCTGCTTTGCAGTGAAGCTAAGATCAGCATCATGCTAATCAAACACATATGACATATCAGACAAACCTAAGCTCAGGTCTGCCTGCAAGACAATTTGGAGACATTTTGGGGAGAAATGTAGGTGTAAGCTGAGCTACACAGCACACATCTCATCATCCATGTTCTAAGGGGCTGGAGGAAAACAGAACCAGAAGAGAGGAAATACCAGCAAAGTGTGGTTATACAGGAGACACATGCAGACCACAAGAGACACTAAGCATGAATGAAAAAGACAGTGTGACAGACTAGAAGTATTGCTTTCAACTGCCTGTTAAACAGTTGAATGGGCCATGGGAGCTAGTATTGGAAAAGCACTAGGAAAGTAAGGAAGGAAACTTCTCAGGAACAGAAACACAACCTTTGTACGCTCACCAGGTAACACACACACAAGACATAACCAAGAGGATGAAAAACAAGGCCACAGCTGCCACTTCTGACCTGTTTCAGCACTCTGCGAATGGCCTCCTCCTCAGCCACTTCCTCATCACTGTCAGGGAGCCTATAGGTTTCCAGGGTAACTGTAGGAGTAAGAAATGTGAGACTGTGACTCACACCTGCCTCAAGCCTTGTGCACACTAATGTACAATTGCTTGCAAAATGACAATTCCTTGTGGTGTGAGCTGGCTGTGGCATTCTGGCTCTGACCTTTTAAGGTGCAGGTTCCTCATAAAGGACATTACTGTTTATTTTCAATACTTGGAAGAGAGATGGAAAAGATCCCCACCAAAACCAGAGTTTTGCTTTTAAAAGTTTTGTTAACCTCACCAGAGTATGCTAGAATTATCCCAAAGAAGGGTGCAAGACAAAGCAGTCTGACCTTACAGTGCCAGCCCTTACCCTCAACTTAGATCTTTCGTAATGATTTCATGACAAATCAACCTGTACTACTTTGCAGACAGAACCAAATCTCAGTCTGTTTCTTGCAGAACCGAGGAATTAAATGGATAAACTCTAATAAAAAATTTACTCTATCACAGCAACTCGATTCCTCTCTTGGCACTGTATTCTCATCTGCTACCAACCTTTCTCTGGGTCCTCGCCTTTGAGTGCTGCCAGTCTCTTGGCAACCTGTAGGATCTTTTCCTGTCTAGTGTTCTCTTCCTGCAGCTCAGCAGCAGCTTCTGCTAGAAGTTTATTCTTCTCTTCCTCTAGCTGTTTTGGGTCCAGATTTGCAGGGCAAACACAGTCTTCACTTCCCCGATTGAGATCATTCAAACTCTGGCTACTAGGAGCTGCAGACAGACACACAGAACACACTGGTGACTTAGCAGCCATGTTCCTTGGGCACAGAAAACATGACAAATAATGCTATGGGAGCAGCTTGCTGCTCTCCCTAAAACTGGATAATGAGAGGAAAAGGCATGCCAGTAGGATCTTCGCTGTACATGAAGAGAAGAAAATGAGCTAATCTGTGGTTTACAGTGAGATTACAGAGAAGGCAATGCAGCCAGAAAGAGAACGGTATGCCGGATTCTGATGTTTTGTAACAGTGCACAGGTGCATTAGCAGTAGCAACAGCTCCTCCCCAGAGAGGAGTCACTCTAGAGAAACAGAGAATCTGAATAATACAACCCTGACAAGAAGGAACTATCTCCAAGCAAAGACACCAAGACCCAGTGAGGAGCCACTCTTGGTCAATGCAAGGGATTATAAGGGGAAGATATAGACAAACTGGACATTCAGCTCACCTGCTAAGTTACATAGAGAGGGACAAACTCCCTTCCTAGCATAGCACATACATTATTAGACATAAACAGATCTTTAGAAGCCAAAACAGATACCTTGAGGCTGAGCTCTTGGTCTGTAATGCTCATCAATGGCAACTTCCTCAGACAGTTGAGTTAACAGGTCATCTGTCTGCTGGACCAGACTTCGGGTATCCGGGGCTTGGTGCACCTAAGAAACCAGGGGAGTGTGGGAAAAGGCAAATGAGAGGAAAGCAGCATACTCAATCAAATTTGGCAATCAAGATCACCCTAGAAGGGAGCTATACAAAGATGCCTCCACTAACATTGAGAATCTCAGTTTACAGTTATGTGGTGTAAGATTTGTAATGGCTTCATTTTCAGAGGTGCTGAATGCACACAGCCCTAAGAGCAGTCACCTAAAGAAGGCAAAGGGATGCTGAGTGTATAGAAATACGTGCTGCTGGGTCCCAACTCCAGCTCTGCCACTACCTCCAGTGTAAACAAAGCACCATTCACAACAGTGCCAGCCAGCAAGCCCCACAGAGACCTATGATGGCATGCAGCTGAAAGAACCATAAGGAAATGGTATCTTGGGGGACAAGATCATTCCTATAGGCTTTCAAAGCATATATCCAACCAGTTCCTCTGCAAACTCAGACAAATCATGCTGGGCTTCCATTTCTGTTAAAATTAACAGGTTTCTGCCCAGCTGGTATGCAGTAACAACTAGAAGATGTAATTAGAAGGTAGGGCTGATAAGCCTCCAACACAAACAGCTCTGGAAAACTATGACCACTTATGTACATAAATGAATTGAGAATAAAAAACCTTAACATCTATTGTTAAAAATATACACACAAACTACATCTGGCATAAAGGAACATGCTGCATTCAAATTGAAGCAGTGAATGAGTAAAGGCTGGTGATTTGCTTCTGGAGCAATGACACAATCAGGAAACAGAGATTTCTGAAGAAACCTGGACACAAAAAGGCTGAAGAAGGAAGAATGGTTAGCATGTTGTGATACCAGTTACTGTGTCAGCTCAGAATAAATTGCTGACTAAAGAGCTGAGGGAGCTTACAGGTCTGGGAGCTTGGGAAGGAGGATCTCTACCCTGCAGGACAGCCAACCGGTCCTCCATTTCCTGTGTGGATGGAACAGGTCCTCGGCCATCCTCCTTCAGGGCTGCCAGCCTAGCTTCGATCTCAGCCTGAGTAGGGATGGACTCTGCAATTCACAAAAACCCAAGGGAGGAGATTTTTTTTTTACTGAAAATGAAAAGCTACGTGTTTTTTTTCCTTAAAATTGTATTTCTTTCTGGAATCAAGACTCTGAACACCTGAGCAAAAACCTTGCCCAGCCTGAGCGTGAATGAAGGGTCATGCTGCAGTGACTCTGAGACTACCCTGATGCTGACTGCTATCCCTTTCTTCCAAGCCCTTCCCTTCTTCACAGTTTATCTCCTAGCCATAACACAAGTATTAGGGTGATGTCATCTGGAAATCAGCTGACTTGGGATTCTAGGGACAGGCAGAGAAATTAGTGTAATTTAGGCAGTTCAGTCCATTGGTCCCACAATCTCCTAATGCAATCCCAGCCTTATCAGACTGAAACTCCCCCCTGCCACATAACAGATGAGAGGCAATGGCTGCAAGTTATTCCAGGGGAGGTTTAGATTGGATATCAGGAAAAATTCACAGAAAGGGTTGTCAAGCCCTGGAAAAGGCTGCCCAGGGAAGTGGCTGAGTTACCATCCTTGGAGGTACCCAAAAGATGTGTAGATGTGGCACTTTGGGATATGGTTTAGTGGTGGACTTGGCAGTGGACGGTTTGACTCAATGATTCTATGATAACCAGGTAAGCACTCTGAAGAGTGTTCTTTTTCTTTTAGAGACCATACATAACATTTAAAATAGTTTACTCTCATGCAAGCACCTCAAAGCAGTCCCAGAACCTGGCAGTTGTAGACTGGGATGAAAATCCTTTTCCTTCTCTGTGAGACAAGGCTGGTCAGAATAAAGTCCCACAGAGACTGGAACTGCTGTTGCCCAAGATGATGACTCACAGGAAACCTTCTTCAAAATAGTTTGGCCAAAGACTTTAATTTCATTCTAGTCCAAGTGGGTTTGACACATGTTTTTACCCCAAAAAATGGAAAATGAGGAAGTGATTTTACTTGGAGTAAGACACTGCTCCAAAACTGAGTAGTAGTTTCAAGAGAAACCCCAAGAAGCAAAATGAAACTGGAACATTGATCTAAAATCACGGTAGAAGTTGGCCATTGTGGCAGCAGACCTTGGATGCTCTGTCCTATTTTAAGCCTCCATCCCCCTAATATCACAGCCACTTAAAGCCCAGCACTTCCCTCTCCCTCCAGGTTCATTTTTTCCCAAATAGTAGTGTTCCCACCCATGGTATTTATGGTGTTCTCTAAAACTCACTTGGTTTCCTTTCCTCCCTGAGCCTCTCCAGTCTCTCTGCAATAGCTCTATCCTCTTTTGAGAGCCCCTGGTATCTGCAGCCTGCTCGACCTGGGGGTTTTGCAGCTGCCTTCTGTTGGTCTTTCAGCTGGTTTTGTTTAGCCTCAAAAGCTGCTACACGCCTGTGACAAGGAGGGAAAAAATACATGTCAATGAGAACACGGATTTTAACCTGGAGATAAGAAAACGTCCTCTGTGAACCCAACAGGCTATCTGAAGAATGCCAGTGCAGAACAGAAATGAAATTACTCTCTCCAATATCAGCACAATAAAGTACTCCTAAGAGTAAGGCAAACCTTAGCTTACAAGAACACATCTGGAAGCACTCCCCAGCAGACAAGGAACATTTCACCACAAGGTTCCTGTATCCAAGCCAACTCTGATCAGCCACAGATAACTGCAGGCAGGTGGCTGTTCAGGAGTCCATTCAAAAGAGCATAGCCCCCACCCCTCCAAACAAACTAAAAGCCTAAACAGCAAAACAAAAAGTCCATCCTTAATCTAACTCTGAACAAGCAAATACCCACACCACAAGCCCCATTTTTCCTGGTATCCACAGGGGAAGAGGAAGCCCTAAAAGGCTTGTCTGCAGTAGAAAGAACTGCTTGGCAAGTGCAACTCACTTTTTGTAGTTTTCTGGTGGTGACCATTTTGCTGAACTGCTTTGAGATCCTTCTCTGAAAGACAAAAATGATTTCTCTGAACTCAAGATACTGACAATACTTGACAATACCGACAATCATCTAGTCTCTCATCTCAAGAGGAATCAGTAGGTGTTTCTTGACCTCTTGGTACAGCCCCTTTCTTAACCTCATTAATACTGAGAGGAATCAGCTTATGCAAGGGATTAAGACAATATAGCTGTCCAGGACAGCGGGAGCCTTCATTTCTGTCCTTTGGTCCAGTTGTTTTGCATCTGGACAGAATGTGACTTAATACCATCACCAGTGATCCAAGGAGGTGAGGCTGAAATACCCTTGCCTCCCACAGCCTGCACCTCCCAGTTCAGAGGGCAGGCAGGGAGTACTTAGGTAAGACTCCCAGGGTAATTAGCTTCCATGCAGTGGGACTCTCTGGAAGGAGCTGGGGCATGCAACAAACACAGAATTATATAACATACAAGTAAAACAAAGTGTTACAGAAGTTATTATATAACATCTTACAAAACACTTGAACACTGCACACCTAAAACACATCTAACTCTTCTACTTTGCTGTGCTCAGGCTGAGGGACTAAAGTAGACACTTATGTAAGTTAGTTAGCATATTTTATTTGTTCTTAGAAATCACAGCTAAGGCCCATATAGTAATGACTGAATGCAACATTGTTGGAACACTTTCCAAAGTTCTAAGGCTTCAATTCTGAAAGCTATTTGCACGCAGAACAACATATGCAGCTTACAGAACTGCAGCCCACATGTGTTACCTGCAGGACAGGATGCCATCCACAGGCACCTGGACAAGCTCAAGAAGTGGGCTCTTGGGAATCTCATGAGGTGAAATGAGACAAAGTGCAAGGTGATGCACTTGGGTTGGGGCAACTCCTGGTATCAACACAGGCTGGGGCATGAACAGATCAAGAGCAGCCCTGCCAAAAACGACCTGGGAGTGCTGGTGAATAGGAGGCTGGACATGACCCAGCAATGTGTGCTCACAGCCCAGAGAGCCAGCTGTGTCCTGGGCTGCATCCAAAGCAGCATGGCCAGCAGGGCAAGGGAGGGGATCCTACCCATCTCTTCCTCTCTCATGGAACCCCACCAGCAGTGCTGCATTCAGCTCTGGGGTCTTCCCAGAAACTTCCAGAAAGATGGAGAAGGACTTTTTTAGAAGAGCACATAGTGACAGGACAAGGGGGAATGGTTTTAAACTGAAAGAGCACAGGTTTAGATTAGATACTAGAAAAAAATTTCTTTACTTGGAGAGTGGTGAAACACTGGAACAGGTTGCCCAGAGAAGCTGTGGATGCCCCATCCCTGGAAGTGTTCAAGGTCAGGTGGGATGGAGCTCTCAGCAACCTGGTTTAGTGGAAGGTGTCCCTGCCCACAGCACAGCAACTGGAAATAGATGATTTTTAAGGTCCCTTCCAACCCAGACCATTCTATGATTCTATAATCTACCTGCTATCCAGTTAGGGAAGATTGTTTTTCTGCTGTAGCTTCCTAGTGCTGAAATTAAAATTATGAGAAAAAAACACCCAGAGGAAACATCAAGACAGGTGGCCCTGTTTTCTTAATGGCTTTGAAGTTGTGAAGGAAATCAGAAAATTTCAAAACTGAAAAGACTGAATACTGTCCTTCACTGTTTTCAGCAGCCTGTGAAGATGAAGACCTTCACTAATGAGGCTCTTCTCCTTTAGACACCTGCAGAGCCAGAAAATTCCCCCCTTGCTGGTGAAAATTCCATGCTATAGGAGAAAAGTGAGGAAAAGGAACAAGAGAAATGAAAAAGGAGGACACAAAAAAATTGGTTGACAGAGGAATTCTGGTGTACACCTGTGCTCTTGTGTTGCTTGTTCAAGTCTATAATCCTGCTGCTACTGAATTACATGTTTTGTTTTCAACAGGAAGTCTACTGGTTATGATTGCAAATAATTTTTAAAGTTTTCTTTTAAAAGCAAAAATTTTATAGATTTTAGGCTACAAAACTTTATGTCTTCAGGCCACACATAGCAGAGATCCCTCAACAAGGAGGATCTATGTCATTGTTTGCCCACAGAATTAATAAGATTTTGAACATCTTATCGTCAGGCTACTCAACTATTCACATCTGAGAAGACTGCCAGAACTGTTAAAGTGGTATAGATTTCTGGGCAAAAACACAGCCTGGCTTAACCTCAGCCCATCTAGTTAAGCTGTCCACAGGAATTCAGTGTCCATCCATGAAGATTTAAACCTGATGCTTTCAAACTACTTTGTCAACCATAGAGAACAGGCACAAATCCTGATTCCTATTTTAGGACTGCACAGCTCATATAACAACAAGTTCAGAAATGTCCTGATATTCTGGGGTACAGGCAGCATCCCTGCACATATAGAAGACAGAGCTCTCCTGCAGAAATCTGCAACACCACATGGAATGTAAACTGAAGGAAAAAAGCAGCAAATTGTCTTTGGGTGAAGAAACATTCCCATCTTACCCAGTTAGCTTCCCATAGCACTGCTTGCACACCTTCTGCTGAGTGTTTCCACAGCGGGGAACAACAGCGCTGAAGCTCCGGCAGCCCGAGCAGAAGGAGCGTCCGCAGTTCTTGCAGCCACACTGCAGAGACAGGAGAGAGGGGCAGGACAGGGCTTCACCACCTCGCCACCACACTGCTGCCGCTTGCGGGCACAGTGCCCGTGCCGAGGCACACACAAAATAATGCCGAGGTTATACTGATTTTTGTGTGACAGAACTGTTTTACCAGCTATGATATAGAGACTCAAGAACTGTTTCACCAGCTAAGATATGGAGACTCAAGAACCTTGGAGCACCAGCAGATAACTCCTGCTGGGAGCAGAGTCACCACTTCACCCCATAGTTTAGCGAAGCGTGCGTGTGTGAATTGTCTGAGACCATGACAGAATCCTGGATTAGAGGGATGGCATTCAATGACTTTTTGGTTTTTTGGTCAGTAATTTCTCTTATTTGAAGACATATCAGAATTAGGCATTACGAGAGCTCAGTAAGCAAGGACAACAGCGCCAGGATGCTGGCCGGGAAGCGTGTCTCGGCGCCGGGCGAAGCAGCTCCCTGTTCCCTTATCAGACCCTCGCAGGGCGGGGCAGGTACTCGCGGCACCGGCCCGTTCCTGACACCCGCAGCCGGACTTGCCTCTTTCTTGAAGACAGAGAACTTGGACGCGCACCCATAGCACCGGCTATCCATGGCGCTAGCGCCCCAACCCGCCCTCAGACACGGCGCTGCACCCCCGCTATCCCAAGCTCCATGGTCTGCCCGGTGCTGCGGCTGCCTCAGGCCCAAGGATCGGCGGCGAGCGGGGCTGTCACAAGGTAGGAGCCGCGGACACCACCCTCCCGTCCCCTCAACACAGATCTGCCGACGCACGGCCCTACGGGAGTTGTAGTCCCTTGCTCCTCCCTCCCCGCTTTCAGACGCCAGGTGGCTCTCTGCAAATAAACTACACTACCCAGAGCTCCGCACGACCCCAGTGGCCGGCCGGCTCGGCTACCATCGCCGCGCGATGCATTGTGGTACGTGCAGTCCGGTGCCCCTGCCCGCCCCCGCCTGAGGCGCTCTGGCTCGGAGGGCATTAGCTGTTCTTGGGTGTTAATAAAACAAGAAAGTGTATTCTCTCAGGCTGACAGTGTTGCTCTCAAGCTACTCTGGGTGGTTTCTTTTTGTCCGAAACCTGTGGTGAGATCCTGGCTCAGAATAGCAGGAATCAGCCGAACTGCAAAACTCTAAGCCATCCTTCGGCCAGTGTTGATCCGCCTGCCCTCAGGAGTTAAGTGTCCTGCAGTGTTTGCAAAAAGAGTCACGGAGTGCAAATGAGTCATCCTGTTAACTGCGTGGGTTTGCAGGTGTCTTGTGCATTCTTTCCAGTTTAATATATAAGCCCACGTTGTAAAGACTCACACAATTAAATTAGGAAACTCACTGATTTATTCCAGGAAGTAAAATTCCTTAATATCTGAATGGAGCTAAATATAAAGGGAAAAATGGGGGGTTCTCTCTGAGTCTTTCATTTTTGGCATTTGTGTGCTTGTTGGGGTTTTTGTTCGGTTAGGTTTTTTAATGGTAAGAAACATTAGAAAGACAGCTGGAAGCTAAACGTCGTACCTGTCCAGCAATTGTGTTAGAGACCACCCGGACATTCCAGGTATTGTAGGCATAAAGCAGGGAATCGGGACAAAGTCAACTAAAAGGCTTCATTGTCTTTGCTACTGAGCTGCTCAATGGGAAAACAGGACCAGGAGCCTTCAGTCTTGACGTTACAGTGCAACCTACCGACTGACAGGTGGAATTTGGAGGGCAGCTCTGGAAGAAAAAATACAAGCAGCAGCCCAAGGGGTCCTTCCCATCCATGGAGGAGTGCGGGGGGATCCCGCTAAGGAAACGGAGCCTCCCTGCTGAGAGCGCATCGGCTGCGCATGGAGCCGCACAGAGCTGGGAGCCGCGGCCGGGCCGGGAGATGTCTCTGTCTTACCTGTCTGCAAAAGCGGCGCTACACGCTCCCATTCCCATTCCCTGCAAGTGTCCGCCAGAGGGGGCCCGGCCCCCGCGGTTCTCCAGCTCCTGAACCGAAGGCCATTTGACAGCCGAGCAGCCCCAGCTTTCCTTTATTTCTCTTTTTTGCCCGGGGCTGTTTTCCATGGTAAAGCGAACTCGATTATAAAATCCTATGTGACGATTTAGCCTATAAGGTTTTCAATTTCTATTTGAAGTGCAGGAGAGATTAAAGGGAGGGCTTTGGTTTGTGCGTCTTCTTGCCAAACTCAGTTGTTGTGCAGTATGTTGTACATTCTGTGTCCTACAAAGTTTTAGCCACTCTGCTCTGGGCAGCTCCCACCTGGAGTGCTGCATCCTGGTCTGTAGTCCTCAGCACAGAACAGACAAGGACCTGTTGGAGCACATCCAGAAGAGGGCTACAAAGATGATTAGGGAGCTGGAGCACCTTTCCTATGAGGACATACTGAAGGAGTCAGGTCAAGTTGAGTTAAGTCAAGAGAGGAGAAGGCTCTGGGGAGGCCTTATTGCAGCCTTTCATACTTATAGGAGGTTTATATGAAATGGGAGCAAAAACTTCAGCAGGGCTTGTTGTGATAGGACAAGGGACAATGGTTTTACACTAATATAAGGAAAAAAGTTTTTATGTGTGGGTGGTGTGACACTGTAGCAGGTTGCCCAGAGAGATGGTGAATGCCCCACCTCTGGAAACATTCAAAGTCAGGTTGGATGGGGCTCTGAGCAACTTGGTCGAGTTGAAGACGACTGCTTATTGCAGGGCTTGGGACTAGATGACCTTTACGTGTTCCTTTCAACCCAAACTATTCTGTGATTCAATAACCGGGGCTGTAGTCATGCAAGTGTCATCTCAACCACAGTTATTTGTTTATGTAAGGAAAATGTATCTTAAATTAAACACAGAAATAGACCTATGAGTAGTACATTTTTGTGTGCTTCTGTAATGCTTTATTCAAGGCTGTTTTTCTCCTGCAGCAATAATTGACAAATCTCTGTTCTGGTTCTCACAGACTACAAAAACACAGCACTCAAAGGCTCTGATTTGTCTCCCAGGCAGGAACCAGGACAATCTCAAAGCAGGTAAAAAAGGAATATGTGAGCACAAACACTCTTATTTCTTCCACACACACAGGCTTCTGGAAGTGGGTCTCTCTTTAAAAACATCTGGGTTTGTATGCAGTTAAGGTAATAGCTGTTTATGTCATGAGTTATATACATCTATGGAAATGCAAATATTCCTCACTGCTAGATACCTCTATGTTTTAAGGTTAAATCCTTACATTTTGGATTTCAAAAGCGTGTTGAGTGCTGAACTTTAGTTAGAACTTCTGAAAATCCTCCTATTGTGGTATTTGAATCCTAAACTTTTGACTACACTGTCCCTTGTGTCCACTAGCTGGTCACTCTTCCTTCATATAGTTCAGAATATGAGTGTATTTATACATGGGCAATGTCCTACTTAAAACCATATTTCTAGGGACAAATTGCAAGACCAGTATTCCTGTATGTGGTATATTGCTTTTGGAATATGCTGTTGTTCTTTTACCAAGTATGGGTAAACATCTAAAACATTGCACATCTGTAGAGCTCCACATCAGACCAAGGCAAGGGAATCTAAGGTAATAGTCAAGTTACAAAGCTGTTCAGCACTGTCTGTTTAAAACAGGGACCCGTTAGCTTCATTATGTAATCAGAGTTGTCATGGGGTTGTTACTTTTGCACCTCCAAAGTCCTCAGACTCAAGGAGAAGAATTAGCATTTTTATAGTCTGAAGCTTAAAAATAGAAGTAGAGTTTAATTTTCTGACATGCTGATGAAATGGTTACATTCTCCAAAAATATGCCAATCTAAATCTTTTTATAGCCAGAAGATTGGAGCTTGTAAGAAATACAAATATTTGTTGCCTGCTGTACATGCACTTTCCCACCATGATGCAAGAAAGCTCTAAACCTTGATGTTCACAATTTATCAATTATCATTCTTCTGTGGGTGAAAATTAACCAGTGCTTAAAAGGCAAAACATTACAGACTTTAAACCCCTCCCCCCCCGCTGCTACAAAGTTATCATAATTCAAAATTTTTTTGGTTGCACCAGGAAAGCAAATTGGCAATTTCTACACGCTCTTCTTCACAAAGACATAATTTCAGCAAAGTCTTTTATTATTCATTATGCTTTGGCATCTCCCAGTTTGGCACTAGCATTTAATTCTGAATACATCAAGTCAAGGCAAAGTGTTAAATATTTACAGTGGTGATCTCTTTGTCCACTCCAGCCATCTCTTTAGAGGAGGAGCATTTCTCTCTACAGACAAGGTACTTCACACCTAAAATGCTTTCCAAAGAGAACATTCAATGGTCTTTGCATTAGGTTTTCAGGCCTCATTTTTAAAAAGTATTTGGGTAACACCTTATGAACAATTTCAATATCCAACTCCGCCACAGCAAAGTGACAACAGCAGGTACTTCATTCCATTCCCTCTCCCTCAGCGCTTGTTCCTGCTACTCTTAACTTTAGTTTCTTTAGTTAAATCTGTTCCCTGACCTGGTCCGTCTCACAGAGGAGTAGTGCAAATCTTTGAGTTGAGGTACTGTATGTCATACTATATTATGACACCACTTGTTTGGGGTCAAGTGGTGATTTCCAAGCTAAGCTCTGGTGCCTATATGAACTGTGATCTTGGCTTAAAAACATAAATAAATGTGTTTGAAGATTTTTCTGTATGCATGCTGGAATGCACATTTAGGCTGGGTAATAGCATTTGCCAGAATACAGGTTAAAGTTGCTACACAGCCATGTTCTGAAATTTTTTTATGGGCACAGTTTTAACCACTAGAAGTTCTTGAAAATCTGCTTACATCGTTTCAGCTCTGCTATTGTGTTTGGCCCTGCAACACCAGCAAGGAGAATACTATAACAAAAAGCATACAGTCTCAGAAACATCCCATGGGCAGGAACATTTCTGTCCTTGATTTACCATGGAAATTACACCGTTGTACATGTAAGACTAAGAGGTGAAACTTCATGCTTGTTAAAGGTATCAGGCTATATATTTTTTTTCTGAAATTGGTGGCATCTTCACTTTTACCTGAGGCTAGCTGGACTCTCACTCTCATTCTGTTTTTCAAACCCCATCTGTATTATATTTACCTAGCAAATGTATAACTCATCACAAATCCAGGCAACTCCCACACTAAATCACTGTGGAATTCAACCAGCACAAAGTTCCCAGTGGAAGTAAAGTCTGCAACCTTCTCTGTCCCACAATAAGGGCCAACTGCAGGTGACATAGGGCGGCTTCCATCATGTATGAGCAAGTAGTCATAGATGCATCTGTCGCTATATTCCAGCTCAAAGGATAACATTTTGAGAGATATCTGGAGAAAATACAACCAAAGCACTTTGTTTCCAGGTTGCAGCCTTTTCTCTTACCCAATTTTTAACAACAACAAATACTCTAAACTCCTTGTGTGCAGGCATCATTTTTTTATTCTGTGTGTGCACCACATCCTGATCCCATATGGCAATGCAAATTAGTAGCAAATTATTTGCTTAGTTCATCAGTATTTGGATTGGAAGGATAAGCAAGGGACAAGATTGATCTTCTACGCTTCACATTCTTTCCTCTAGAGTAATATAAAATCAGCACCTGTGTGATGTTTCAGTTTTCTAGTGGGAGCCCTTGCCTAGGGATTATTTTGAACAAAGCCTTGTGGTACAGGCTAGATTCATGAGCTCACTTGCACATGTAAAGGTTTTTCTCTTGCAGGGCACCT